GGATCACATGGGAACAATAGGTTTGATTGCTGATTCAACCTGAAGGCCAGGTGCGATGGCATGCATCTTTAATCCCAGTGACTTGAAAGGCTAAGGCAGTGAGTTTGAGGCTGGTCTGGGCAATATAGTGACCCTGTCTGAAAGAGCTGTGTGGTGGTACATACCTGTTGTCCCAAGAACTTGGAAGGCTGTGGCAGGAGGATGATGACAGTGAAACTCTTTGTTAAAAAAAAAAAAAGGAAAAAGAAAAGATGGGGACCAGCAGATGACATAATGGCTATGTTGCTGGACTCCCATATAGTCGACCATGGTTCGAGTCCCGGACCCAGTGGTTTAAACTCACACCAGGCGCATGTGTGTGTGTGCCCAAGATCCTGAGAGGAGAATGGAGGAGAAGGGATTGCAGCGTGGCCATCCCTTTGGGGGCTGATTGCTCACTTTCTGTCTTTCTGGTGAGCGCACGTGCCCTATAGCAACCCCCTGCCCCCAGAAAAAGAGAGAGATAAAAGAAAGCTGGAGTGTCTACAATATGTCAAATAGACTTCAGAACAAAGACTATTACTACTATTGTTATCATCAGAACATAGTAATAGCCTGAAGGTGTATACATGTAACAATAAAACTTTTTTTTTTGAGAGGTTTTTGCTACAGGGCAAACAATGGTCCCAGCAATGGTCCCAAACAATAGAACTTTAAAACACATGAAGCAAAAAATATAGGACTGAAAAGAGAAAATAAATCCATAATTATTATACTTGGTGACTTTAACACTCATTAATTTTTTTAAAGAATTATTTATTATTATTTTTCAGTTTTGACCAGATCCAGGACTTGAACCACAGTCAGCCATCCGAGAATCCAGCACCATTAACCACCATGCCACCTGGTGGCCCTAACATTCCTCATTAATTGATAACTAGAAATACTGTAGGGCTATAGACTACCTGAACAACATTCCTAAGGAACTCAACCTTATTAATATTTATAGAATACCCTGTTCAATATCACCAGAATACTTATTCTTTTCCAGTGCACATAGAACACTCACCAGGATAGACCATATTCTGCACAATAGAACACACATTAACAAATTTAAAAGAATTAAAGTTGTACAAAGTAGGTTCTCTGATGATAATGAAATTAAACTAGAAATCAATGACAAAAAGGTATCTGGACAATCTAAAATATTTGGAAAGTTAACACTTCTAAACAACCTATGGGTCCAAGAAATAGTCTGACTAGTTTGAATTGAATGAATATGTATGAAAATCTTTGGGAAACTGTTAAAGCGGGTTTTAGGGACAACTTATATGTTCATATTGGAAAAGGATGGTTTTAAATAAAGATAAGCTCCCACTTTAAAAAACTAGAAAGAAAAGAAATTAAACCCAAATAAAGCAGAAAGAAGAAAACAGTGACAGTAGTAGTGTGGGAGGCCGCACTTTAGATCTTGTACACAAAGATCCATTTTGTTGTCCATTTTGTTCCCTTACGCTAACATGGCTGTCTGCTTCTGTAAACCTGCTTGCTCTTCCCCTGAGAAAATAGCTTGTGTTAGCCATACAAAAAACTGCATCCCGGTCGCCATCCAGTACCTGTTACTGTCTTTGCTAACTAGCCCAAAACCCTTTTGTTTAGATGTTCCTTAACAATGTAACTACTAATCGCTAGACCCCCACCCAGAGCCATGGAGACCAGTAAACAAAGTTCTACAGAGTGCCCTCAGAAATAATTAACTGCTTGATTCAGCCTCTAACTGCTTGCATGGAAACCCCACTCCTTTTCCTGACATTTCCTGCACCCCTGGTAACTGACCCCCTATAGAAAGACTGCTCAAACTTCCGTAGGGGCTGCAGTTCTGACTCTCAGCCCCCGAGCCTCAGGCTGTAGTCACTGGTCAGCTAATAAAGACTCCCTTTAAAATCTGGCTTTGGTGGTCGTTCATTTGGTGGCACTCTACAACAGTAGCAGAAATAAGTAGACTTGGGAATAGGAAAAAAAAATGCCAAAAGTTTTCTTTTCTTTTTTTTTTTTTAATTATAAATAGAATCAATAAAATTCTAACTGGACTGATGACAAAAGATTATTCTCCAAAGTACTTCTGGGTAGATTTTTCTCTGTACACATAACAGTAATATTATTTAACCAATCTATTCATTTAACAAAACACTTATTTAGCACCTATTATATGCCAGGCAGTATTTGAAACACTTAGGGTTTCTGGAGAGGTTTTTGCTATAGGGCGCATGCGCTTGCCAGAAAGACAGAGAGAGACAGAGAGACAGAAAGCGAGAAATCACACCCCAGGAAGGATGGCCATGCCTTCTCTCCAGATCTTGGGAGCGCACGCACACACATCCGGCATGAGTTTAAACCACCAGGTCTAGGACTCGAACGGCAGTTGACTACATGGGAGTTCAGCGACATAGCCATTACGCCAACTGCTGTTCGCGGCTCCAAAGTTTTGCATGATAAATGGCATGCAGTCAATTTTATTTTTGTGGCAACTGGGTTTATAATTAGATCTCCAAAAGGCAAGTTGTCAATTTTTCCACTCTGGGTCCCATAAGTCTTCTTCTAATGTAGGAAAAAAATGTATCTGAAATCTAAAAGCTCAGTGGGGTTATCCATTTGCTGTTAATCTCTTTGCAATTCAGTTTGAGAAGTTGCAGCTGGTGTATCACCAAGCTCACTGATCCTTCTGACTGTTCATCTAGTGTTAAGTCCATCAAAGGCATTCTTCGTTTGTTGTAGTTTTTTTTTTTATTTCCAGCATTTCTCTAAGATTTTGGAAGTTTCATGTCTCGACTTACAGTACCCATCTCTGGCATGTTGTCCATATTTCCCAACCCTTAGCATATTAATCACAGTTTTAAAAGGTTCCCATCTAACAATCTTCAAATGTGTTATGTCTGAATCTGGTTCTGATGCTTACTTTGCCTTTTGGTCTATTTTTCCTTACTTTTTAGCAACCTGCCTTTAGCATGGGAGTTTTTTGTTGAAAGCTGGAAATGATGTATTGGTTGCTAGGAAATGAGGCCCTTAGCATGAGGTTTTCTATCATATGGCTAGAATTCGGGCTGTGTTTAATATTTGCTGTGCCTGTAGGTTCCAGAGACTTCAAATTTCTCTAGTGGTTTTGTTTTTGTCTCATGTTGTCTTTGGATTTCCCTAAAAATTCCTTGTCAGGGTGTTTCAGCACTTTTCCAGTTATAGTCTACTTTTATACTGAAGCCTTATTACTACAATGGCAAAATGTGGGAAAATGGAGGGCCAGCAGGTGGTGTGGTGATTAAGGTGCTGGACTCCCTCATGGCCAGCCACTTTGAGTCTTAGATCTCGCAGCTTGAATATCGTGCTTGGCCTATGTGTGCGCGTGTGTGTGTGTGTGTGCGCCTGACTAAAACCCAGAGGGGGAATGCAGGAGGAACTGTGGCATGACCATCCCTCTTCGGGGGTGATTTCTTTCTTTTCTTTTTTTTTTTCTTGTAAGAGATTTTTGCTATACGGCAGGTGCACTTGCCAGAGAGACAGAAAGCGAGAAATTACCCCCCAGAGGGGATGGCCACGCCATAATCCCTTCATTTTTCTCTCAGGATTTTGGCTGGGTGGACACATACACACACACACACACACACACACACCTACCTCACATGAGTTTTAAGCTGCTGGGTGAGGGGATGGCCACGCCATAATTCCTTCATTTTTCTCTCAGGATTTTGGCTGGGTGGACACACACATACACACACACACACACACACACACACCTACCTCACATGAGTTTTAAGCTGCTGGGTCTGAGACTCAAACTGTGGTCAACTACATGAGAGTCCAGTGACCTAACCATTAAGGCATTTGCTGGCATTTGCTGGCCCCTGCAGGGGTGGAGGTAACTTCATACTTTACCTCTGACTCTGTCTCTCTCCAGCGAGTGCATGTGTCCTATGGCAAAACAAACAAAAAAATCCAAGAGAAAAAAAAAAGAAATGGGAAATGCCTTATAAATTTAAGATTAAACCTCAGACTTTTAGTAGGGCTGGGTTTCTTAGTAACTACTCCCACACCCCTTAGCTGAGAAAGGAAGACAAGAAGGGGTGATAGTCAGAGAAATGCCCTTGTCTAGGTAGGATAAAGCTCTGGTATAATTACCTTTTCTCCTGGGAAGAAGGACTTTATTATGAGAAGACTCTGGATGTCTCTAACAATAATCATTCTTCCTATCCCCACCGGAGTCCCAAAAGATCTTTCTGGGTTTTTCAGAGAGCCTGGTGGAATTCCTGAAGGTACAATTTAAAAGTGCGAGCATCCCTCTAAGACGGTGGCCTCACAGTCTCCTCCACAGTCTACCAGTTTAGGGCATTTTTAATGGGCTTTAGTGTCTACCTTGCTGGTGAAATAAATCAGACCAATAAGCTGCCAACATCTAATCTGCTGTTGTTAGTACTGGGACCATATAGCAGAGTAAGATCCATTTGGCTCATTCATTTTACTAGCTTACCAACTGCTCCTGTGTGGGGAGGAGGGGGCCCGAGGAGTGAGGTGCTGGCTCCTGGAGGCAAGTGCTACCTACCCACAGTGCCCCTCAGTAACCCAGCAAGGGGGACAATGGCCAGGGACTCCCACTGCTTTTGATGAGGCGTCATCAGCCCAAGGAGATTAGCCATTGAGGACGCAGGTGACTCTATACGTGGAAACTGCCTTCGGCTCCAGGTTTTAGGCAGCGGTTTGTGTATTTCTTGGTAAAAAGTTTACAAAGGCCTCAACTCGCTGTCCTAACAGAGTTTAGCCAACCGAGGGCAATCTTCAGCCCCCTAGCGAACCGCATAGAGTGAATCCGCTCAAGCGCTCCGCGCTCCCGGCCTGCAAGCTTTGGATGCTGGAGCTCTTCTGCAGGGCCTAAGAAGCTCAATGCCGATTGGGCCTTGCCGCACCAATCGGAGGCCGCTCCCTGCGCCGGTCGGTGGAGTGCGGCGGCGGTTGCCAGGAAACCGCGTAAACACCTGAGCGCGCGCAAACCGCTGCGCGGCTCAGTGGCCCCGAGACTGAGTTGGCGGCGGGACGTGGTGGCCCTGGCCGCTGGAGAAGAGCTTTGTTTCTGTCAGCCAGCATGGTGAGCAGTCGGCGGTCTTGAAACTACTTATTTGTTGATTTAATTATAGTTTAGAGTTCGCTGGTCTCTTAAAAAGGGTCGAAGTGCCTAATCTGCGCGTTACGGGGAAACTATTTTCTGCCAGAGGCCGCAGGTGTTGTCATTTAAGGGACGCTGTCTGGCTGCAGCCGGTTCTACGTTCTCCCCACACCGCGTTAGCTACATCTTCAAATCTGTCTGATAGAGCCTGTGAACAAACGAACGGAAATACAAGTCCAGGAGACAGAGAATGGATGTGTAGCAGCGGTTGACCTACGTTTAATGTTAGAAAACTCCGGAACCACTTTCCGGCCGTCGGGAGGGGGCGAAACGAGAAGAGGGGGAGTTCGGAGGGCGTAGTCAAGGGCTTGGTCTGCGGTGCCGGACTGCGGGGCTCTTGGGAGTGCTGGTACTGCTGTTTTTTTTTTTTTTTTAATTGCAGAACCTCGGGTAAAGTTACTTTTATTTTTCATGCCTTCTCTTTAAAATAGGGATTAGCATTAGCACCTGTTTAACTGATATATCAATATATTCATCGACCACGTTCGCTCTTAGGTAAACTGAATTTAGGAAGGAAACCAAATACCCTTCGTTTATTATCTTTTCATGATTTATCACTGGATTGTACAAAAATGTTTTTTTTATTAGATTTTAGGCTATTAAAGTGTGCATACTTGGTTGTTCGTTACCATTGCAGGCTTCCAAAAGGAGAACTTTGAGCTTTAGTGAACGGCATCAAAAATTAGTAGATGATAACTACCGCAAAAAATTGCATGTCCAGGAGCTAAAAAATATACAGAGTCAAGTGAGGAACCAAATGGTGCAAAATGGAAATGATACCCGTGTTGAGCACAAGAGATTCCTCAGATTATTACAGAATGAACAATTTGAGTTGGATATGGAAGAGGCCATTCAAAAGGTACGTTTTATTATTCGCTATTACATTTTTTTTCTTTGTGCCTTGGAGATGATGCAACCCAGTTGCTAACACTGGAAGTTGAGTAGACAGACAACAGGCATCAGGTAAGAATTGGTTCATTACAAGTCAAGGCAGAGTGGTGGGAAGGTGGTGGGTGTCTTGAGCAGGAAAATGGCTCAGCAGTAAAATAGGACGCTCTGCAAGTCCAGCCCACCTGGGAAGGCGGCTGGTTAGCAGCAGCTGCCCTGAGTATTCTGGGTACCTGTGCAAGTGATTTGTGCTGACAGAGACAGGATGGATGGCCGCATCAAGACTTGATTGGAGGTGCTGTGTCTATCTCTCTCATGGTATAAATTAATAAACTTAAAAACTGGATTTTGGGAACTAACCTGTCTTCGGTTTTTGCTTTTTTCTTAAAAAAGTGTTTAACTTTATTGTTATGTTTTAATTTGCTATAGGGCACATGTGCTCACCAGAGAGAGAGAGAAAGTAAACAAGAAATTGAGAAAACAGCTGGCAGGTCTTAGAATTCAAACTGTCACTGGCCATGTGGGAGTTCAGGGCTTTAACCACTGCACTACCTGCTGGCCTCAAGCTAGACTTCTGAATTGTACTGCTCTATCTTAGCTACCAAACCTTAAGTGAGTTGCTTTTTGCTTTTACCTTTTTTTTTTTTTGGTAGAGGTTTTTGCCTTAGGGTGCATGTGCTCACTGGAGAGAGAGACAGAGACAATGAGAGGGAAAGTGAGAAATCACTCCCCTTGTCCCAGGTGTGGCCATGCCACAATCCCTTCTCCTCCATTGTTATCCCAGAATCCTGGGGATGCATGTTCACATGTCGGGTGTGAGTTTCAAGCCACCTGTCTGGGACTCAAACTGCAGTCTGCCATGTGGGCATCGTAACCACTATGCCACCTGCTGATCCACTTTTACCTTTTTATGTTTCCTCTATAAAATGGAATAATCGTGGAATCTCATACTTAGGATTTTTTTTAAAAGAATTATTTGATTTTATTATTATTATCACTTCTTAACAAAGTGCAAGGTCCAGGACTTGAACCGCAGTTGGCCATGTGAGAATCCAGTGCCTTAACCATCATACCACCTACTGGTCCCAGGATTGTTTTAATAATGAATTAATACGTGCAAATCCTTTAGAGTAGTGTCTGGCACAGAGTAAGCACTCAGATTTTTGGTTTTGTTTTGTTTTTAGCAGAAATATGAAATCCATACTGAGTAACTTCTACAGTTTTGTCATGTAAGGACCATCACATTGCTTTCTACATGTTTCTAAAGACAACTACTTTAGACCTTTTTGTTTGATTGTTTATTTTTTAATTGTCAGAGGGCAAATGTACCCATAGAACAGAAAAAGAGAAAGCATCCCCCAGTGGGAAGTAGTCACACTGCAGTCCTCCTTCCTCCATTTCTCTATCTTGTCAGAATTTGGAGCCTGTACACACCTGTGCCAAACACCCTGGGGCCAGGTTTTGAACCACACTTGGCTATGTGGGATCCAGTGCCAGTATACCATGCTTAGCTACTATACTAGGGGGCTGGCCCACAGATGCTTTTTTTGAGTTTACTAAAATTAAACATGTACTTAAGCAGTAGAGAATGAGCACCGTTATTTATATGTTTCGTCATATTTTTAAATTTTAAAATAATATCTTGAATTCAGGCACCATATATGTATATAACTACTGAAATATGGAGATAATTTTCATTGGAATTGAACTATTTTAAGGGGTCAGAGTGTTAGAAAAAGGAAAACTGATAAGTGATTATGAGAAAAATGAGTTCTCATAAAAATGAAGTTGTGTTATTTCAGTATTTTTTGAGTGCCTGTTTTATGTTCAGCATCTCATAGGATGTGGAAGTAGCAAAAGGCAAGTTATAAAAATGTCCAGGGGGCAGCAAGGTTGCATGGTGGTTAAGGTTCTGGACTCCTGACTGGTTTGACTCCTGGACCTGGCCACTTGCTTTCTCACTTTCCCTCTCTTGCTCTTTAGTGAGTGCACGTGCCCTGTAACAAATTTAAAAACAATAAAATTCAACGATTTTTTAAAGAATTATTTTATCTAACTTTAATTTGACCAGAGAAGTGGGGAGGAGAGAGAGAGAGTGAGAGAGAGAGAGAGAGAGCGAGAGAGAGAGAGCGAGCGAGCGAGCGCGCAAGCGCGCATGCGCACAAGCGAGAAAGCAAGCCACCAGGTCTGGGACTCGAACCGCAGTTGGTCATGTAAGAGTCCAGAGCCCTTAATCACCACACCACCTGCCAATCCCATAAATAATTCCTTAAAGGAAAAATGTCCATTCCTTTGTGTTCCAATTCCAAACGTTTAGACATTATTTTTTTTTAACTCAGCACACATATCCTAAGGGTTTGATTTTTTTCATCCTTATTTTTTCTTTATTTTTAAAGAAGATCTTAGATATACCAACTCTTTCCTGCATCCTTCAGTATACATCTAATAAAACACTTTTTTAAAAAAAACACAAGGCACCACAGTGCCATTTTCATACCTATTCCATTAACAACAAAAAAATTCTTTTCAGAGGTTTTTGCTTTAGGGCATGTATGCTCACTGGAGAGAGACAGAGACGGTGAGGGGGAAAGTGAGAAATCACCCCCCTGGCGGGGATAGCCATTGCCATGCTGCAGACCCTTCTCTACTTTCCTCCTGAACTCTTAGGCACATAAGCACACATACCTGGCGTGAATTTCAAGCCACTGGTCTGCGATTTGAACTGCGATCGGCTGTGTGGGAGTCCAGCATCGTAACCACTATGCCATCTGCTGGCCCCTACAGTATGTATATTTGGTTGTGGTGTGTTTTATGTCCCTCAATCTAGAAGAGCCCTTCTTCATCCTTTTTTTTTTTTTTTAATTTTTTTAACTTGTTAAAAAAAAAGAAGCTATTCCAGTTGTTTTATAGAATATCCCACATTCTGAATTTGCTTTCTCATGGTTCCTTGGATTTTTTTTCTCCCCATCTCTTATATTTCTTCTAAATGAGTTAGCTGTAAAGACATAGTCTGAATTTTTGGCAAGAAAACATCGTAAGTCATGCTGTCCTTGTCATATTTGCATAGGAGACACATGAGGTCTGATTGTTTCACTTTGAGTAATCAGTGGGCTAAGTAAGAGCATAGTTCCTTCATTATAAAGGTTTTAATCAACCTCTCTGGTTTCATAAAAAAAAGTCTTTTTTTCATTAAGAGTTACATAACACTGATTTTTCTAATTCTGTGCTCCTTTCACATTTAATTAGAAGATTTTCTCATGTACTAGGGTTATTCTTGCTGGAAAGAAAAGATAAATAGTAAATTTTCAGAGTAAAGGGTTGGTGTCCTCAGGCCAGCTGGTAGCGTGGTGGTTAAGATGCCTGGATCCCACATCACTGACTTAGTAGGTCAAGTCCCAGACCTGGTGGCTTGGAAAAGCATTCCAGTGTGTAAGGTTGCTTTTTCTCTCTCCCTCGACAAATTAAAATATAATAAATAAAATACATATATTTTTTTTAAATCTTGGAGATGCATTGATCTTTATATGCTTAAATTAATTGTACTTATTTTTTTACCTCAAATTATCCCATCTTTACATGGATGCCCTTTTATATTGCTTCCATATCCTCTTGACAAGAATCACTTCTTTTTTTTTTTCCTCTTGAGAGGTTTCTGCTATAGGGCACGTGCGCTTGCCAGAAAGAGACAAACAGAGAAACAGAAAACGAGAAATCACCCCACGGGTGTGTGTGTGTGTGGGG